CTAGTGACACTTGGGCAAAGTTGAAGCCAGCCAAAAGCAGCACAGCTATCTTCTCATTTCATTGGATGCTTGGCTGGCATTGCTTGCCTTATTATGCAATAATCTTGTGATTGGAGTCCTTCCYATGGAAGGGAGGTGAGGGATGTAGGTCCTCCTCGACCTGGCAGCTGCCTCCCAGGGATCTCCTGCCTGCTGAACTGCAGGCTGCTCTGGCAGCGCTTGCCGTCTGCCGCTCTAGYTGAAACTGGGTCGTTGGTTCTTGCACCGTTTCACACGGTTAAAAGGGAAGCAAACAAAAGTGAGAGTGAGGATCTCCCATTGTCTATCYAAGAAGTCAGATTTAGACTCCTCTTTTAAAGCATGTAGTCTTTGTGGCTCTCTCCTAAGAGCCCTTACTTTGCATGCAACGTGTAACTTCAAATTGAGCCAGATCTTTTTCCCTTCGTCTAGATGTAGTGCTGTACAGTCACAYGAAGTCACCTTGAATTCCAACAGATAGGTCTTACTAGAAAGCTTCTGGTTTCAAGCTRTGTCTCAAAATGGCTTTGTGTAATTTGTGGCTTTTCCTTTCCTTCATAAAGAAAGCAGCACTGAACAAACACGTGTCAGTACTCAAATAAAAAAGTTTGAACAGGCAGTAGAGATTTTTTCTCATTTGGAATGGAAAAGTAAATGAAATAGTAGCATAGCGTAACTGTCAGTAATTCACAGCCCTTCTCCTTCACTTGCATTAAAAGAAGCGTTAGTCTTCATGCATATCTTCAACTGAAGGCATTTTGTCCCTGCATTTATAAGCCCTAGATGGAAAGGGGCACTGTTTGCAGTGCTGAGACTTGTATAAAATAACCTGATGTTGCTAGACCTCCTTGCCCACAGGTGCCGAGACCACTGATATGGTTGCAGATGTGGTGAATGCCTTGCCGGGCTGCTTGGCTGCTTTAATATGGAAACTTCTTAACCTGCAGGGTTTTTTTCAGTGAACCCACATGGATCTGATTAGGGTGACTATAGTGCCTGCAGTATCACTGTGTCAAGTGTGATGCCCCTGGACAACTGTTTGTTGTCGCATCCGGCTTCAGTGGTGCTCTGGGACCAACAGTCTGCAGCGTCCTGCAGAGCTAGTGTATAAGCCAAAATGGTTGGATACACTTTTCTCTTCCCAAAACATGAACACCAGCATAGGTTTGGGGAGGACTGTTYGCCAAACCAGCTGAACTGGAATTGAAACACTTGCATGCTGGTGCAAAGATCCAAATATTTGGCMTATTTTGGCCTTTACCCTTTTGGCAAGGTAGGGGAAAAAAAGTGGCCAGAAACAGTGCTTCTACACTCAACCTGCACAGCTTCAGACCTTTCAAAGTTTTTCTTATACAGTCCTTTAGTGTTAAGCTCATTTTCTTTGTCTGTTGTTTTTTTAACATGTGTAAACAAAGAGAAATTGAAGAAAAATATTTTTGGAACCCAACAGGACTTGCAGATACAGCAATCCTGTTCGTACAGSAAGAATTGAAGAGGTATTTTTACTGGTGAAAGAGTCCTTGATTTTTGGTGGTGGACAGAGATGAGCATCAGGCTAAAGCACTTCCCAATCCATCATGCAGGCCAGTTTAATAACTGGACGCTGAAGCCAAGTGCAGAAGGATCTGTGGTTCTCAGTGGGCTAGCACCAGCCCCTGCTCTCAGGGCTTTATACAGGGAACGAGGCAGAAGTCTTCAAGTGTGGTGTCGTGTGTGTGGAGATGTGTAGACAGATACTGAATTTATTTGATTTTAAGCTAAAACAAAGGTTAAATAACAGACTTTTAGTATGCAAAATTAATGAAGGATTCWTCATAGGGCTGGAGTGCTCCCTCAGCAAGTTTGCYGACGATACCAAACTGGGAGGGGTAGCTGATAGCCCTGAGGGCTGTGCTGCCATCCAGAGGGACCTGGACAGACTGGAGGACTGGGCGGCGAGAAACCTCATGAGGTTCAACAGGGGCAAGTGCAGGGTCCTGCACTTGGGGAGGAATAACCCTGGACACCAGTACAGATTAGGGGTGGACCTGCTGGAGAGCAGCCCCGCAGAGAGGGACCTGGGTRTCAYGGTGGACGACAAGTTGACCATGAGGCAGCAGTGTGCCCTGGTGGCCAAGAAGGCCAACGGGATCCTGGGGTGCATTAAGAAAAGCATCTCCAGCAGGTCGAGGGAAGTGATCATCCCCCTCTACTCAGCCCTGGTGAGGCCACATCTGGAGTACTGCGTCCAGTTCTGGGCTCCCCAGTACAAGAGGGATGTGGAGCTGCTGGAGAGAGTCCAGCGCAGGGCTACCAGGATGATCAGGGGCCTGGAACATCTGCCMTATGAGCAAAGGCTGAGRGAGCTGGGTCTGTTCAGCCTGGAGAAGAGGAGGCTGAGGGGRGACCTGATCAGCGTGTATAAATACCTCAAGGGAGGCAGTGAGGAGGAGGGGGGCGGCCTCTTTTCAGTGGTGGGCAGGGATAGGACTAGAGGAAATGGCTTCAAACTGAAGCATCGGAAGTTCCACAGGAACTTAAGGAAGCATTTCTTCACTGTGMGGGTGACAAAGCACTGGAACAGGCTGCCCAGAGAGGTTGTGGAGTCTCCTTCTTTGGAGATCTYTAAAACCCGCTTGGATGCAGCCCTGTGCCACGTGCTCTAGGTGACCCTGCGTGAGCAGGGGGGTTGGACTCGATGACCTCTGRGGTCCCTTCCAACCTTCGGCATTCTATGATTCTATGATTCATAGAATAAAGTTTTCTTTGATGTAAGTCCCCAGTAAGGCTCATCACTTACTGTGTCCAAGTAACATCTGGTATAAATGTGTCTTAATATATTTGATGCCTCCCTTTTGTTGCTATAAGGTGTGAAACGGGAGTAGGAAGTTTTTTTGTTTTCTTTTTCCAATAACTAAGTAACTATGAAATTAGTTCAGGAGCAATTAGCAAAGGAGGCCCACGGCAGTTTTGTGCTGGAATCTTGATTCCATCTGGATTAAAATTTGATTTAGTATATATACATACCTGTGGTACTGACATCTCTTTTGACAGTGTCTTTGGTATGTATGCCAGTGATGTGATCAATTATTTATAACAGGAGTCAGTCTAAAAAGGTACGTAGACAAAAGGAAATAAAAGAAGGATGAAAGGTAGGACTTGCAGGCTAAATTGCATCTAGTTATAAATGACATTCATGGAGAGTACTTCAGGATTGCACTAGAATTTGCACGACAGGATAATGTTCTTGAATTGCATTCTCATCCCAGGGTTGCTKCTTCTTTCCCGGATGGTGATTCAAGTGCAAGAAAATGAGATCTGCAAAATATCTTTTAATTAAGACTGTGGTACCAGTGCTTATATAAAAGCCAGCCTAGTAAATAAGAAACTGGGCTCACAGCAAAAACTGGGCCTGTAAAAACTGACCCTTTAAAACCAAACTCCATGGTCTCTATAAATGCAGGATACTGTATGGAATTTCTGAGTAAAGAATAGGATGTTTAAATCTTGAAGTAGTGGATTGCTCATAGGGATCTATGCTGAATTCTGAATTGAATACCAATCTCATACTGTATTTCTGTTTTAGTAATCCTGTAGCTAAGGTAAAGACAGATTTGTGCTTATATATATATATATATAAGCATGCTTATATATATATATATAAATTTATATATATACAAATATATATATTTAATAATCCTAAATCATTATCTTTCTTTGTAGCAAAGGATGAAAGCATGTGTGGCATACCCTTAAATTAGGTTTGCAGAGCTGGAGCCTTAGGGTGATGTGTGTCAAGTCCGAAGGCAGTTTTTCACTAGGTGGCATTCTGTCGAGTACCTGGGCTTGCCTTGGTGGTTTCTGTGCAACTCCTGCATACTTTGGTACTAAGCAGGTTAGAATAGTCACATTTAAAATAAATTTTAGAAAAACCACAAAATGTTCCAATATATTTGCAGAAATTTTGCATTTGTTAATCTTAATGCAAACTGATAAATTCTGAAGGCATTAATTTATTCTTTCAACTAAGTATGTTATAAAGATGAAAGGGTTTTCAGGGTTGCATATTGCTATTATAATTCTCTTTTTAACAGAAATAGTTGGAATCAGGCTGGTGGAACAGGAGGGTATGTCTSAGCAGCTGCTGTAAAACTGCAGGCCAAGTGCAGGGTTGTGGGGGTGGGACGACAGTGGGATCCACTGGCTCAGGCTAGCCAGAAGTTTGAAAGCTGTTTTCCTCAAAGAGCTCGTAATGCTTGTGGAAGGAGAAATCTAGGAGAAAACACTATTGGTGTGAAGGGGTAGGTAGCAATTTATTGTTAGGGATGTATCGACTAATTGTGGTCTTGGTAAGAAGTGCTCAGGGCTTCCTGATGCTGTGTTTGGGATTGAGATGGGCAGAAGTAGCTGGTTTCAATGGGAGCGAGGCTTTGTTTGAAGCAGCGCCTCATTGGGATGCAATGGTGGCCACCACTGTCCCTTACCTGCGTTTAGCAGGASTGATGAGAAGGGTAAATGAATAGACTCAGTATCTTGGTATAAGATCTGTCTCAGTCTCTGCATACATTTTTTCCCCCCACCCCTACACACACAGAAATCTAATTGAGGATACAAATAGGAAAAAGGGCTGTTTGACCTCGATTCTGTTGAGTGCCAGGATGTAGCCCCTGACCGCTGAGGTAGTTACTGTGCATGCCCTGCCTGGAGCTGCACGAATGCGCAGGGAGAAGTTGTTAATCGCTGCGCTTGTCTCTCCTCTGGCCAGACTGATGTGTGTAGTGCAAGCTTGCAGGTAATAGCTGACTCTCAGATGTGTACTCGTGTTAAGCTTTGCTTTTAAATCAGTTGCTTTATTTGCAGGGAGCCACGGGAATAGTTTTGGCACACAGGATGCCTTTCTGCTTGTGGGTTCGCGCGCAGGCAGGGCCCAGTGCCAGGCGCTCAGAGCACGGGGGGGCCGCGGTGGTTCCCGATAACCCCGGCCGTGCCCGGCTCCCTGCCCCGCAGCACGTCGGGCTGCGCTCGGCCTCTCGGCCCTCACGGGGCCTGGGCTGGAGGCTGCTGCCCTTCCCCGGCTCGCAGCCACACTGTCCTGGGAGAGGTGGGAGCCAGGGCTGCATCCCGGCCCGTCTCCCTTCATAGTGAGCACTCTTACAATGCCTTGGGTGCACCCAAGCTGCAGTTAGTGCAGACTGTTCTTTTTAATCAAAGTATTTGCTTTAAGGTCAAGAAATTATTTTAAAATAACAGTATGCTTGTAGCTGTTCACCTAATTGAATGTGGGAAACCCACTTAACCACCTCCCCCTGAAATCACTGATTTGCAATCATGCTGCTCTTCTTGTAGCAATATTTCTTTGACGGGCATCGCTCGGAGTTTCCTGAGCACAGCTGTGCTGCTCTGGGCCAGTCGGAGCGCACAAAGGCATTGCTTGGAATTTCTAGCAAGCAGATGTGCACGGTTTTCCAAGTGCAGTGCAGGACAGGTGTACGGGTGAGCCCCTACCCCAAAAAATGAGGAAAACTGTTCACAAGATAACTCCACAGGAGTAAGAAATTCATCAAAGACTTTACTGGCTGTCACCTATGTAGAAAGTYATGGTTGCTCTGTAAGTAAAATGACTTTAACTAGCAGTAATGAGTAAAATTTAATGGATTTTTAGTTAAGATATCTATACAATCTAGTTCTGTTTATGTTTGACTCACAAACATTTTATATTTTGTTCAATAGAAGCAGGTTTCTTTTGAACTCCAGCCTCCTCCTGTCTCTTTGGAATTTACTTCAACTGACTTGCATCAAATGACAGGGGTTTCCAGATACCCCTTTGGGACTGTTTCCCTGGTCCTGCTTCCCTCGGCAGACTTGCCTCCTAGTGATATTTAAGATGTAATTACACTGTTGTTGAATGTTGAACAGCYGTGCTCTCGAAACTGCTGCTGTTCCTATCACTGCAGATGTGTGGGATTTTTAATGTGTGGCTTCCTCAGACGATAAAGAAGTGAGAGATCAGTCGCCATAAACAAAGATCTGAAGGTATCAATTTTGTCTTTTTGTTTTCAGAGGGTCCATATGGAATATTTGCTGGCAGAGATGCCTCCAGGGGACTAGCAACTTTCTGTCTAGATAAAGATGCACTCAGAGATGAATATGATGACCTATCGGACTTAAATGCTGTACAGATGGAAAGTGTTAGAGAGTGGGAAATGCAATTTAAAGGTAACTTCTTAAATTAGCAGATCATGTGTAGTTTAAGGTAATACTGTTCACAAAATGACTAAGTTGGGTTTGGGGCTTCTGAAAGAATATTAATTTTTGCTGTCTAATAACTTTAGGTAAAAGCCTGGGATTTGAGACCTTTCTGCTTTGGAAAGGATCTCGTTATACTTCACTGTGGCTTTTCCATTCCTTTAGCTTTATATGAGAAGGCTGTGCTCTTCTCAGCTATTTCAGTGCAGATTCCCTGTGGCATCTCAGTGTAGCTCAGTCTCTGGAATTGCTGCTCAGCAGTTGTTGGCTTTGGGTTCCACTGAAGTAAATTAGGACTCCGGGTTGTTTTGGTGTTAGGCGCTGACCGGCTTCCTCTTGAATTAATGCCTGGCAGGCCCAGGAGGGCCCCTGGAGGGAGGGGGAAGGCTCTTCCAGTTTAATTGAAACCAAACAGGTGAGGGAATTGCTACTGGGTTTATTAGGAGGTGTTTCAGCCTTTGGGTAATAAAGCTTCCCTGAGGAGCTGTGGGAGACAGGAGCCAAGCAGCGAGAGTAGATAAGGTAGTGAGCAGAAATAGAATCAGGATTGAGTTAGGAGGCTAAGCTTGCTGAAAATAATTGCCACTGATTTCAGTGATTCAGAACCGTAGCGTGAAGGGAAAGGGCAGTTTTGAGCAGTGCAGACTGACTAGCAAATGCAGCTCTATTTGATTGTAATGGAATCRTCAAATCTCTTTCAGAAAAATACGACTACGTAGGTAGACTCCTAAAACCAGGGGAAGAACCATCAGAATATACAGATGAGGAAGATACCAAGGATCACACTAAACAGGAATGAACTTTGTAAACAACCAAAGTCAGGGGCCTTCGGAACTGCAACCTCTTATTCCCCATCACAGAATGTCCTGCATCTTTGGGTACAGTTCATCTGCTGCGAAAAACATTCAACAGGTTTTGTACAAGGAAAATAACATACTCACAAGTGAAGATTTGAATACTAGACATTATTTGTGCTGCCAAACTTTTTTGTTGCAGTTTATTTGTAATGTCTGGTAAGGCTTCATTGAAGAAGAGGGGCCAGGGTTTAAAGGCAAAAACGCTATTCCTTTTTATCAGTAAGCTGAAGCCTTCAAATAGCATAAACTACAAACTCTAAAGACATGAGCCTTCCAGCTCAGTGAAAGATTTGAATCTTGTTTCATGTGTGTCTTCAGCATTAAAGATGTGCTCACGTGCATYAGTATCAGTAGGTTGGGCTACTGAAACTGGTGTTAAAATGTGAATTTCCAATTTTGTTTTGTATGTGGGCCTTAGGAGCCCTGGCAGAATACTTCAGTTCTCCAAGAGAGGTCCATGTAGATTAGGATGGGGTTAAAATGCATCCTTTTCTCAAAAGGATTGGGTAAAAGCATTTCTTCTGTGGCAACTGTTATCTGAAGCTGCCTCCTCCCCCCTGCCCTTTCCCGTCCTCTAAATCAAATCAAATATTAATTGTGCCTTATTTCACTTGCATAGACTTGAATTGTTTTAAGGGAAAGCCCCCAAAATGTGGCTTCGCAGTCACTACAAGCAGCATTGAGACTGAAGCTAGAATGTTCTGTTGACTGGAAAACCTTGATATCATTCTGTGTATAGAATGTAAAAGAGGAATACTCAGTGTTACTGCCATATGTTAATACTACATATACTTAAATTTAGCATTGTGATGGCCAAATGCATACTCCCATGCTTCTTTTTAAGTAAGAAAAGAGAAAAATGAATAAAAAGGTCACCCTTCCTCCTCTTCCAGAAGCTGCCTAACTTTTGGGAGCACAGCCTTCACAGCCCTGTGAGCGAAGGGGCGCTCGCGCGTGTGTATGTGTGCGTGTCTGTCTGAATGCAAGACTTGGGAGGGATTGTTTCTGCAGATATTGTAAATACGAGTACCATTTTAATAAAGCATGTACAATACCAAACGTGCTCTCAGACTTTATGTGGAAGCTGTCGAGCAGAGCTAGGGTATCATGGAATACTAAGTAAGGGGCGGGGGGGGGGAAATGGGTATGAAACGCCCACGGCTCTTAACACACAGCGCTCTGGTTAGTTTTCCTTGAAGTCACAGCTTTTAAAGAACTTGAAGACATGCTCAGGTAAGCTCTTATTAAAAGAATAAACTGATGCCAGTGCATTTATGGTGAAAAAGCAGAGTGACTGTACACAGARCTTTTTAGGAAATGATGTGAAGTAAAAGGAATTTGTCCTGTGTTATCTCTGGTATTGGAAGTAGTTATTAGGTATAATGTTGCTTAATACTAACTGCATAAGAACTTTGCTCTTAGTCTCTGGCAGTATGCTGCAGGATTGCAGTCCAGGGTGATGACTGCTTTGAAGGCTTTTTGAGATTCAAGCTGTAGCTCCAATACTGTCTCCGAAGAAACATGTAAGTAAAGAAAAGCACTCAGTACAAATGATTCAGAAATCAGCAAGAGCAGGTAAATAYGATTTGTTACACGGGACTGCCACCATCCTCCACTTCAGCAGGGGTCTCCTCTTCAAAATAACAGGCCAGCCTCTAAGTGAGGGGGGAGGCAAGAGTCAGGAAGGGTGGTAGAGTTTGCCTGACTGGAAATTAAATTCAAATTTCCATTTTTGTGAAAGGACTTTACCTTCATAGATACTACAATTATGAAACATGTAATTTCCAAATGTGCAACTGCACCAGTTAAAATAACAGGGTCTTACTTGAGAGCTACAAGCAATCTGTGTGGGCTTTCTTGTTTTCTTTTAAAGTGTGTTCTGTTGATGCATTTTGACTTCTGTAAGATATTTTGATAGCTTTGCTTTAAAAAAAAAAAAAAACTGTTAGGTCTGTAGAAACAGATGAATATAATAGCATTTCACTTAAAATATAGCTATTGACACAAGAACGTGTGTGTGTGTATGTGTATATATGTCAATAACACTGTAGAAATGTCACTGCCTAAATACATGACTACCATTAAGTTCATGGCTTACAGCTTTATAAGTTATATTTGTACCTCTGCTTGCAGCTTTCCCCTGTGATAAGTCCATAGTAACAGATTTTGGAATATACTTTCTTTTGAACTGTGAAATTCCAGAAATTCCAGAAATTCCAGAAATTCCTCTTTTATGTTGCTGTTTGACTGAAATAGCTGTATGCTGATGCCCATGGAACCCTGCAGCTACCTGCGACTGCCCTGCCCTGCCTGCCTCAGTTGGAACAGGGCTGCTCAAGGGGCCAGCGCTCCCGTGTTGCTCCTGCAGGGTCTTCTGCACTCAGCAGTCCCTTGGGGCAGCACTCCTTGCTCCCGAGGCCGCATCCTTATTAACTGAGTGCTGACCCAGGGCCCAGGCTTCTCGCTGCACCTCAGTACTACATGAGCCCCTGCTCATGCCCCAGCTCTGCGGGAAGAGCAGGCAGGGTGCTATAACTGAAGCACCAGGAAGATGGTGTCAGAGCTGGGACAGCAGGAGSGACCCGGAGCTGATGAGAGCTCGCAGTGCTGCGGCCCTACCTCTGCACTTAACACCTTGCACAGGTGCTTCTATTTGGACTACACCTTCCTCTGTAAAAAACTGAACTTTACAAGTTGCTTAAAGGGCACCTTTCATTTTTGGCTTTTGTTCCAGCTCATCAGGGCCCTAAGATGGGCACAGTTGTGAGGCAAGAAGAGATAAGTGGGTTTTTTTTTTCCTAGCTAAAGGTATATATGTATTTTATGCATTTACACACACAGCTGTGCTACAACATTGGGGCTGASAGGTCCTAGCAGCAGCAGCGGACCTGTGCTCTGCTCCTTGTTCTTACAGCTCTTTGTGCAGCTGTGCTGAGCCAAGTGTGGCTGTAGCTTGAGCTGCGTATCCACCATCTATCCCATTGAGCTTCGTTAGGTTGGCCTGGTTGGGATGAAGTCCTGTGGTCTCATCTCTCTCCGGGCAGTAKTAGTCCTCTCTCTTTTTGGTGTTACGGATGAGAGGGTGTTGTGGGGGTTGGAGGGAAAGTCACCCTCACTGCGTACCMCTTCAGACGTGAAGGTGCTGGAGACTGGGCTCTTCCGTCATTTTGTTGCATAATGTGCTAGGAATAATGTAACTCAGTCCCTAAAGGCTTATTTAAACATGGAAACCAARTAATTAATGCATGAATGTTGCTAGCCAATCCTTCCACTCACTTCTAATTGATAGTTTAAGGTGAATGTTTACTAATAGGCCTTTACAGATTGGTTTTAAAAGTTACCATGCTAGTTAAAGGTTAGTTCACATACACATAAGGCCTGTTTGCCTGAAAAAAACAGAACTAACAAAGAAAAACACCAAAACAACAGGAAACAGCCCTGAAAAGCACCATGAAGAAAGCCTTGCATGTCCCTGCCTGCCCCCTTCTCTCTTGCCTTCCCGTGCGTTCGGGTATTTTCCTGTCGTGGCAGTTCACACGTTTTCAAGGTGTCTGGGCAAACCCTGGGCAGTCTGGCCAGACCTGGGAGGTTTGTATCCACTTGGTGAAACCAGCCTACGCCTCAGCAAAACCTCCGTTATCCTGAAAGGAACTGTTCTCCGCTCGGGGTAGCCACGAGCAGCAAGGTGGCCGCCAGGGCAGCCCGCGGGGAGGGAGCAGCACCCAGTCCCGGCACAGAGAAGGGGATGCCCCTAGGCTGGCAGGAGCCATGCGCACCCCAAGGTCATCTCCCCCCCTCAATAAAAGGCACTGCTGAAGCAAGCAGCCCCACGGCAGTTGCCAACACCGGAGACAAGAGGGAAGGAATTCACTGCCTGTTGCCTACAGCCACATTCATCATTCACAGCTCAGGTTTTGCTTCGAAAATTACCGAGTCCTGTGAAGCAGCAGCATCCAGGAGAAAGCTGCCCGCCCTGCCAAGGGTCACGGGCAGCCCTGCGAGTCCCGCGGCGGCCACGCACTCCGGCCCGCTTCTCCTCTTTGCACAGCAAGGGAAGTCAGTTCAGAACAGAACACTTGGGTGTGGGTTTTTTTTTTTTTTTTGTATTTTTATAAAATTTGTAAAGATATCACAAAATTTCACACACACAAAGCTAAATACTCACATGTTTCAATGAAAAAGTGAAAGGAAATATTTTAGATCTATTACTGGTATATACAATTTCAATCCAAATTTACACTTGCATCATTTTCTTGGATAGTAAGAGCATGGATCAAATACAGGATTGAGATGCATGACTTCAGCACCTTGAAAAGATGCTCCTTAAAGCATTTGTATGTGTTAGCTCATTTTCTGAAGAGGCCACTCCTAAAAGGCTTTTTTTAATTGAATCTGTACTAACAACAGGGAAGACCACTGCTAATATAGGTTTCATTCACAATTCACATTCATTATTTGTTCCATTGAGATTCACAAGACAATGAGTGAAAAAAATTAATGGACTTGATTTCTAGCAACTTCCGAATCCGATACAAATTTGTAACTCGAAATCCGCGCGTTCAGTGGGCTAGGACACCTTTGAGGATTAAGGCATTGGTGTTAGAACTTTAGCAAGTCAACTTCACAGTTAACCCAAGGCTTTTCTGCACCTATCTAATTACACAAAGCTGAAGGTGTTATTCTTACCTACCTTTGGAAGATATCATTTATGCACTCAGCTCTTTTGAGTTGTCTAAATCAAAGTAGATACAAGATGCAAGCATCCTTATCTTTCAGCTACAGAAATCAATTGGTATTCAATCACTGAAATTATTTTTCAGACCTACTTCAAATTATTTGCTCTTAGCTACAGCATTTTTAGGTAGACCATCATTCAAATATTGCAAAATAAAGCAAAAATACAAGTTTAAAAGGAATAGTTTGTTTCCCTCCAAACTAAATTTTATTAGTTGAAACGGGGAAAAATCTTTTAAATTACACCTCTCTTGTTAGAGTAATTTATAACCATAAGAAAATTCAAATCAAGAAACCTCTCAAACTGAAATTACTTGGAATATTGTTTGCTATTTTAACAACCTGCACAAATTGCAGGTATTGTATGTTAAGTGTACACAATTTACAGATCCATTTTCCCCTGTATTTTATTGTTGCTTATGTTCATATTAGCCAGTACTGAAAAAAGTGTTTGTAAAACTATCCCAGTTATGTCCATTCCAACTCCATACTTAATAAAATATTAACTATGGAGGCCCTGGAAAAAAAAATAGAAACTAGTCTTTAAATAGAATCCAGAAATGCAATTTTATGTAGCTGCACATTCTTGTGTAATTTTAAACAAGAGGTATGTTCTCTTGAAGGTTACTTATTCAGAAGCAAACCAATCACATAAATCCTTCCTTTACATTTAAAATATATAATATATATATATATATCTTTTTGGCTTTGATAAAATACAAATAATGGAAAAATCAGGGTAAAGAAAGCAAAGTAAATAACATGGATGTGTCATACCTTTTTTTTTTTTTTTGTTCCTTTTAAGAAACATGAGCTGAAATGTAAGGCATCCCCAAAGTAATTTTTTGCATATGTAAGGAATGCAGTTTTTGTAAACAGAAGCTTGAGGAAAGCAATACTGAAGCCAAAGAATCTTCCCAAGGATCTATGTGATGATCCCCAACCAAGAACAACCCTCCCAAGAAAAGTGTTTTGGAACTCAAGCTTGTGAAAGAGGAGAATGCAATCCTTCGTCTTCCCAGACATTTTTAATCGCATATTATATTGGTGCTCCTTGAAGATCTCCACATTAAAATAGTGATGTAAAGGTTGATTCACAAGGGC